TGTATGGGTTTACAATCAATAGTCACTGTCCTGTAAACATTGAAACTGCTGGTCTAACTGCAGGTTAAGATCAGTAATTTGCATTCGTTTTACTCCATTCCACACATACAATGGCTACCCTGTTAAAAAAAATACATTAAATAGCTGGAACTCTCCTACAAGCCAAGTGTCAGATCAGTAAATGTTGACATTATAAATAAAACTTTAACATTACTTTTGTGCATTATAAAATCAGTCTAATAAACCTAAATCTTAGAATAGCAGCCAATTTGTAATTGTTTATACACGAACTTTCAGGCAGTCAGCTCTAAATACATACAGCGATGGGAGGAAGGTACCATCTCTCATTCCCAAGCAGGCTTTCAAGGAGAACACAGTGTTAGAGATGGACAGGGATCAAGGAACGCTGCAGTCAGAGAAACTCCTAAACAGTTGCATTCTACAAACTTGTTTTCATCGTTACCTGAAAGTGCATCTTTGTAGAATCATCCCCATGTTTACAAAAAAGTACAAACATTGCAATTTTGCCACACCCTAAGCCTATCTAACCTGCATTTTCTGTTAAGTGCAAAAGTATATGAAGTGATACATGCACTGGTGCATATAAGATCAAAGCCTGAAAATGAGGCAACGCTGTCACTGTGAATCCAAGGTAGTTCAGTAGTTGCTGAGTCTTTGCTGCACAGCTGTTAAATGGCCGAAGTAGAAGCCGAAGTAGAAATTAATGAAAAGTCTAAGCCCAACAGCCAGAGTGGTGTTTCAGAGCAGGATCTCCACGCCCCCGCTCTCTGCGCACGTTCACCACCCCATACTTGTGCCTTTTTCACCAGTTTCAGTCTAAAGGCTGGCCCCAAAGGGCAGGAAGGCAGCCTAGCAGAAGAGGAAAACGCAGAGTTACTGTGAAGGCTGCGAGAAGAGGTATGAGGTGCAGACTGAAGGAGTATCTACTGCCGGGTCTCTCAGGTGCACAGCTCCAGCGTACCCCCAGTTTCAGTGCTGGCGTAGGGACTGGTGGCTACGCGACACAGGGCATACCTGCTCACGCAGCCAGTGCGTTACAAAATACCTATGCAGCTAAATCTGTTGTGTCTTCAATGCAAGTCCTTGTTAAGTGTCATAACAGCTCCACTCACCTTCTCCCACAAAATGAGGCTTCATTGGATAATGACACATTCATACACCAACAGACTGCTGCAGAGTAACGTGCACATGTAAATGCTTAGCAATTCCAAACAGCTGATACTCAAAACAAGGATATTATTTGTTCTTTAAAGAAATGCAATCTGTACAATACTTCTAAGAGGGTAACTGTGAAGACTAATGAACAATTGTCTATAAAATTTCATTTAATTTTGTTCCTTATTTACATCTTGCAGTGGACTACGCTACAGCTTCTTCTAGTTTTTAAAAATGCTACAATAACCATCACCGTTGATTTTAGACCCACAGAGACTTGATTAAAGAGGAGCTCAGACGGTACACATGCAGAGCCTGTATTCTGAACACAGTTGTGCTTTCGCTGTATTGCTGTCATGTCTTGTTGGAAAGCACATGTCCATTAGAAATATCTGCTGGGAACCTCGGGGGGACCAGTAAGGAAGCAAGCTCTGTCTTCTGTCCAAAACTGGTGAGAGAAAGATCCAGAAGCGAGTGCTAGCAGTACGCTGTAGCACAGCAAAATCTGTGCAAGTAGGCACCATGAAAGGAAATACAGTAAGGCCTATTTTTAAAGGGTGTGTGTACGTATGTGTGTATACACATATATGTGCACGCACACATATATACACATATATAAATAAGCAGAAAGGTTTTGGCAAAATAATGCTGTTTCATTTAAAAATCAATGCAATGAAAATATCAGCAATTTAAACTATATAAATCAAGCATAAAAGCCATGGGGAAAAAGCAGCAAATTTTCTGAAGTAGCACCTGTATCTCAGGGATGAGCTTTTGAATTTCGGTTCTCCTAATTCAAGACAGAGGTAATGTGTTTACCCATCAAAACAGGTTTTAACCAACTCACTGCCTTCTCTCGTCTGCAACAGCAGGGTATTTGAAATGCACCGTGACTTTCAGGCCCCTTCTCTCCCCCACGCTGGCAAAGCCTAGTGGGACACTAGGAGGTGGTGAGGAGCGCGCATCTCAGCAGTAGAGACGCTCGCTGTGCAATCTGTGCCTGCCACGGTTTGTAGGCAAGGTAAAAAAGCAGGGCAGCAGAGAGAGGATGAAGGAGCGCGCTCAGGATAGCAATGAGCCCGCACCTCCTCCCTGTCTATAGATTACGGTTCCTGGTCCTGTCTCCCGGATGTTGATTTAACACCTGTCCTGACAGAAGCAAGCCTCTTCCCATCACTTTTCTTGCTGCATTATTTAAAGCACTCGTCCGTGTAACCACTAGGTTCTCACACAATGTTACTCAAAGACTCCATGCCAAGAATCATTTATGTGCCCACTACCGTGTAAATTATACTGCACTGTTTTGTTCAAAGGAAAGGCTAAGCCAAAATGTTATGTATTAACCACAAAGAGTTACCTCCTCTCTTCAAGGAAGTCTTGGATACTATGGAAGAAAATACCAGGCCTCTGACTGCGATGAAAATGTAAAAAAAATATAAAATAATAAAAAAAAATTATTCTTGATATACTGGCCTTCACAGCACCTGAAGCTGGAATTTCTTAATAGAGGGGTTCAATAGTGAGCTTCTCCTTTTAAAAGCTTTACAGGAGCTTTCCTATCTCAGCTGCCCAGGAGTCTGCTGTGTCTTCAAAGCACACGAAGAATCATTTTATGATGCACAGAGACTTTGAATGCCAAGTGTGTTTTTCTTAAGATACGTTTTCGTTCCAGTGTGGCAATCACCTGCTCAAACATGTGAGAGTCAGTTTCTGGAAAAAGGGCAAGAAAAGGGAAAAGTCAAAAGCCTTCCTGTCCTCCACCAGGATCCCCCTGGCAGTTGTGAGAACAAGTTCATAATTGCTACAATGACGCTACCCCGAGACAGGCTCGTACAGTGTTCCAGGGATGGAAAATGCCCATGGAAGGATATGCCACAGTAAGGGGCCCTCTGATTAAAATACCGTGGCCTGAGAGTTTCATGCTATTTCAGACCACAGATACAGAGCAACAGGGAGAGACAGCCAGGCCCTTAATGAGCCAGGAACATGAAACACTGTCAAGGTGCATCCTGCAGGATGATGTATGTCTGGAAAAACATTAAGACAGGTTTATTTACTAGGGCTGAAGAACGGTCAATACCAGCAAGCTTAATGCTTACACATCTTTTCTGCAACAAAAAGTCAAGTTTTACTCTCCATTACGGAGTCAGCAGTTGGAACGATTCTTTCTGCTGCCCTGAGGACATAAAGCAGTTCCTCCAGCTTTCTGGACAATTACAAGCAGCAATCTATTTCAGATATCCTCTCTTATTTGAGAGCTTCATCCTGAGAGGGCATATCCTGAAATACCACATTTCACCCTTCCTACTTGAAAAGCTGGTGCCAGGATGCCAGAAGAGCTCCAGCTGATCCTTCAAGCCCAGGTTCTGAAGCAGAGACAACCCTGTGTTAAATGATCAGGAGATGAGGCCTTTAGCTCTGTACTATCCAACTATCTCCTTCAATAGCATGAGTCCAATCTGCACGTTGAATAAAAAGGTAAGTCGTAGTCCACAGGGTGGTACTTGAAGAACATCCCTAAAATTAAATTAACAATTTAAACAACTAGTAACAGGCTTCATTGAAAACAGGAGTCAGTGCCCCAAAAGCATCTCTACCAGAACACTAAAGAATAGAAGGAATCACTGGACAGGAAGGCGAGGCTGCAGGCAGATGCCATTTTTGCATGGCTGTTTTGTCTCCGTTTATAGCATTAGCTATATCATTCTGTTGCTATAAATGGATGTCTTGCAGCACCCACATTCACACCCTCATTGCAACGTGACTGGAAAGTAAAAAGCACAGGTAATGATCAGATGTTGCTGGAGCTGGCACAGTGCTTAGAGTACAGACTGATCAGCAAGACCTAGCAAGAAATGCCGCAGCACATAACTGGCTCCGACACAAAGCGGCTTTTGTGTATTTCAATGTTACACTGAAGTCCCCTGGAACAGCTGGAGATGTTTTTCTAGACACACTGGCAAGAGGAACGCTCCTATAGGTGCCGCTTGAGTGATGAATTCATGCCATCCACAGCTGAATTAATTATTACTGTGCAATAAAGGACAAGCTAGCCCACTGGCTAGCTAAGGGGGCTCTGGCCAACATTAAAGTAGCTCCAAGCAGCAGATGCGTACAAGTCGCAAAACCACGCTGGCCCCTGCACCACAGCTGGCTTGTGTGTGATGCTGACCTGAAGTGAAAGGTTCAGTCCCTGGAGAATCACGGCGAGATGAGAGCAGCAGCGATGTGGGTGCAGACCAACACAACTATGGCACGGACAGCAGGTGTATGTAGTGTATGGCAGGTCCATGCCTGCTCTAGCGCCAGCCTCTGGCAGGAAGCTGTAAAAGAAGCACTGGATCCCCACATTTTCAGCAGATGGGTAAGCACAGAGAGGCGATCTCTCTCTGATCCAAAGAGCACACACTCATCCAAGTGAGAAAAGACAGTCGCTGTGTCCCTGGGCCCACGCCTGGTAACAACATCCACCGAGGACTGGAGAAGGCTGACCAGGCAAGTGAGTTTTCATGATAGCTATTGCATTCCCAGTTATCTGATGCCTACAGCATGTTACATACACACTACGGGCCTCAATACCTCCTAAGGCTCCTCAGAAAAGCTGCTCTGTACTTCAGCTCTAACATAGGACTGTGCTCATTTACTTAAGTGAACATTAAATGGTACTTTTTTTACCCTAATTACTGATGACTCTTTTAGTCTTTGAGGTTGCTGTTCAGTAACAGTCCAACTGTGACAAATTAATGAAAATGAAACAGCACAAGTGAAGACAAGAAGGGAAGTCTGGTGTCAAAGATAACAGTTTCAATGACAGAAAAAAAATCAGTGTGACATAATACTGCCTTGGGTATTCTTGTTCCTTTTTTACGTTAGAGTAGTAGCTGCTGAAATTCAAATGCCTTTTAAACAGGCTTTGGCTGAATAATCTAGGATAAACTAAGCTGCAGTTGAAAACTTGCCCTACAAGCTGTTTCCCCTTCATTCATACTATCCAAATACTGTTGAAGTAAACTCTCTGAAATATTTTGCCTCAACTGTTCTAGTACTTTCTCTCTTCCCCCTGCACGGGGCTCCTTTTATAGAAATAATCTCTCCTGTGTTTTGTATTTTTCTCTTTACGGTAGTACTGTTTCAGCCGTGCTATTTGGACTCATCCAAGGAGTTCTCGGCAGCTCACATCTTTGACTTTTTTTAGCTGGGAGGCTACTGTGAGCATTAATTTAAAAGAACACATTTTTCATTCATGGAACAATGCACCAAAATTTGTCTATGGAATGATTTTCTTTACGAAAACGCTGGGAGGAGGGGAATAGTATTTGTGAAGGTAGATGCAGAAATCTCAGCATCTTGGAATCTCTATTTGGCCTCAGTTTCTGTATACATGAGAAACTGGGAAAAAGGTTATGGAAAAGCAACCCAAAGTCAACATTTCAGATGAGACAAGTGGTACATAGTAGTTATTTGCAACAATGAGGCACTATCTTTGAACGATGAAGTAGAACCCAGTACTATCAAAATGTAATGAAAGGCACGCTCAATAAGCAACCCTCTTCCCTAGTTGTCTGCGCTCGGTTTTACTGAACCATCTTGGTATCTACAGTAGGTGTGCTGCATCACTTCTGAGCACAGGTCTCCACTTAGCGTCCTCCTTCAGATACTGGCATGCTATCCACCCTCATTTCTCTCAGGCTTCCAGGTTTTTTTTGTTTCTGCTTGGATTTTTTCAACATATGGACCTAAAACGGCAAGTTTTAAAAGACAGTGAGTATTAAAATATCTGTAGTCACTTACAAGCAGATCTAAGGCAACTAAATAATAAACAAGTAAAACGTTGGAACTGCAATAGAAAAACATTTAAATACACAACTGTCTGAAGCACCTAGCCTTATAAAGCAATAGGATTAACTGGTTTTTTTTTTTACAAACATATATACACATGAATGTATATGCATATAGATGTATAAGGATGTGTATGTGCGCACATATATGTTCACGTACACACATATACATACACATATATACAGATAACACTTTAGTCACTAACCTGATAGAAAGATAGAAATCTTTCTCACTGGGAGGACAAGTTAGGTTTGTTCTTTCTCTCTTTGTCTTTCCCCCCCCCTTCTCTCAGGAAAAGAACAAAGTTTAACATATTCAAAAACATTTGAGGTATGACCCTCTTTTTCACCCATTTTTCTTCTGCAAGGGCCATTGTTCTGGTAGCCCTCCCAGTAGGGCTACATATTCTCCGAGGTCGCCTGTAGCAACAAATCTCCGTGAGTTAAAAAGGCATCTTTAAGGTAGCAGGCTAATGTGTAGACTGGTGTGCACCACAGTCAACTACGGAAAAAATGTTCTCCTCCCTTTTTCAGTTTTCCCCTCTGCTGCTCTCTGACAGACCTCTCCTTCTCCAGCACCGCCAGCAGATTCCTTCCTACCTTGCACGCTGCAGTACTACCATGGCCCTCATAACTGTGATCTGCTTCAGGGCAAGCAACGCTGCCTGGAGATCTCAATACAGGGGAAAAAATTAAGTCACTAGGCTGAAGTTCAGGGGCTATTGTTTTAAACAAAAGCCTCATCTGAGCCAGCGGTGAGGGCCCTCAAACCATCCTCTGTAGAAACTGCTGTGTATTTATCCAACAGTTACCACACCATGCCAACTAGCTCATTTAAAATTAAGCATCAGAACACCACAGGCAAGCAAGATAACACAATAATATCCACTGGGGAAACAAAGTCAACTTGCTAAAACAAACCTAAGGCCAGTACCTTTGGTCCTGCAGCAGAAATAATAATCTGGCCAGGGGCCTGAATCCAGGGCTCTCCATCAACTTGAACTGGAATTGGCTTTAGGAGTGTTACACGAAAATATGAGCCTTGGGCTATGCGTATTCCTGATCGAAAACCACCTTGGACTTGACCCTGTTAGGAAGTAAAAGCCAGGATATCAATCACCCCAATAAACAAGAAGCGCAAATATTAGCTGCACTTAAACTAGGCAGACAGAATTTTACTCTCACCTGACATTTTAAGTTTCAAGTAGAACTGATTAGGCAAAATCTGCATAGGATGCCTTATTGCCACATCTATTAAGGTAGTGCATGAAGAAGAACTCAGGTACCCCTGCAGGCTGCCAGAGGCAAAATAACGTACACAGAGGAGTCTGCATATGCAGGTTGGCCAAGGAGCACACACTCACAAAGGTATTGTTTGCTTTTACTTCCCTCTCCATAACGTAGTAAACACATTTTCAAAACACCCGACTATACACACAGCACCTATGAAACTCAAAAGTCTAAAAGCACTTTATCATAAAGCATGGAGAGAGAGTTTTGCCAAACAACTACATATATATATACACACACCCCCACACCCAACTACATATGCATATACTCAACTACAACTAACGGCTGAGTGTTAACCGCAAAAAGTGAAGCACAATGAACTTTGCTGCTACACATTCTCTTGGGGAATGTGTACAGACACCAAACATGGGGGTAAAAACCTCAACAGAAGGTCACAAAACCAGAGCACGGGTTTGTTAGTATTTATGTTCTAAAGCAACGGGTACACTCCTTGTTGCTTCTAACATCACAAAATTTTTAAGGATATCTACCAAACCACTTCTTCTAATGGAATGTTATGTATTTTTCTTCCTTAAAAGATCTAAATTATAAAATGGTAGAGTTGGCCAACACCAAAGATTGAGCTGCACAATCAATTTTAAGCACCCAACTTCCCATTTCTGGTGGTTGTATGGATTAGTTGTCTCTAGTTACCTGACCACATATACTTTTTCAGCAGCAGATTTAAGATAGTGAAAGAAGTATGAAGAAAAGATAAAAATAGCCAGCTGTCCCACAGGACTGTGTTGCTAATAGCAGGCCATTGTAAAAATACGTTCATACATGGAATAATTACAGTTGCACAAATTGAGCCATAATATTCTTTGCAGAACTGGCATACGTAGCATGTGGATCAAGAGCAGCTACCATCAGATCCTCAGAGACAGGTATCGGAAAGCCTGTGGCAGATAATAATAAAGCCAGCTGTCTAGAAGGAATCTCTGCCCTGACTGTGATGAGGTATGACAAGATTTTTCACAAATACACTAAGTGAAGAGTGGGTGGTTTTCTAACATTAAAATAAATTCTCATTTTCAACCCATGGACTGTTTGGTTTTGACACCATGATACCTCTTATGAGAAAACTAGTGCATTCCATAATACATATTGGGGTGTGTATAAATATATCTATATAAGTGTGTGTGTGTGTATGTGTATATATATATATATATATTTATAAAATTTGCAATTCACATATATGTGTACATGTATGCTTATGGCCTTGGTTCAAAGCCTACTTAAGTCATGAAGCATTTCCCCATGCATTTTCAACAAGTTCTTCACACTCCTGTTACTTCTTCGTTTTCCATTCTGCCTGTCATAGCCTGGCACCTAAACACGGATCTTCAGGGCAGGCCAATAAACAGGCATTGAGAGGGTACTGCAGTCCCCGAACAGGCACACCAGCTACAGCTAAACTCCCGACATCTGAATGCTTTGTTCACAGCCAGCCGACGCTGCTCATGAATTCTCTTTATGGTATATTACCATTTCTGTGTGACGCAACAAGTACCTGAATAAACGATGGCAAAACTTTACATAGGTGCCTACTTTTTAGGACTATGCACTTGCAATGCACTGTTTTTTACAAAAACACACCCGTCTGACAAAATACGCTTCCTCTGTTCTTACTGGGACGCCAACTTACCATATGGACGACGCCAGTCACACCGACGACTTCCAGCAGGCCGTCATCGATGCGTGGTTTCTCAAAGCGGTTATCACTCTCAGACCCCCAGAGGTCAGCTCCGGACCCCCAGCTGCGTAGAGAGCACAGCACAGTGACCGCCTGCGGGCCTGCCATCTGCCACAGAGCACCCTGCCCGCTGCCCTGCTAGGGGTGGCTGGTTCGCCAGACCTCAAAAGCGAGACGCTCTGCTCCCCACCAGCTGGAGGAGGCAGCACAGCTTTCCTGCGATGTAAAAACAGGAAGTGTTCTCCTAAAATCTGGAAGACTTCTGACCAGATCTTTTAGGAGTGAAAGAAGGAGCGAAGTAAGTAGTTTCCATTTGAAAGAAAAAGAGCAGGTAAGAAGAAAGTAACTCCAAACAGTTTTAGTTTGCTGGGAAATACAGGTTACAGCTACACTCAACCTTAACTTCCAAGACTTAAGAACTTACATAGATCTTACTGGTCTTGACAGTATTTACGTAAGCCACTGAAGAGAAACTAAAGCTAAAACAAGTATCAAGTTTTCGTTCTCGTACCTGGCCAAACTCACTTGTAGTTAAGCAGGTATGCCTGCACTTCAATCCTCTGAAATGCTTCTGACAATTTAACACCGTGTTGCTTTTTGTGCAGCACTGACCCTCCTTACTCAAATCACTCACTCACTGGTTTAGTGCATTGGCTGCTCACTACTAATTGTGATCTTGCCTTCTCACGTGCAACGTATACTTGTGTGCATGCACATGTACATGGGTGTACATGTAGATATATATGTATTTGAATAAAAAGTTGAAACACTTTCAGACTAAGATGGAAAGAGATGCAGGTAGTTTGAGTTAAGAGTGTGACTGAAAAAAAATAGTATGGCAGCACTGATTACCTGCGGGTTTTGTGCAAACAAAAAACCTGCCTCTCCTAACAGCACCATCTAAGGAAGCCAGATTTCCTGTAGATTTGCCTTCCTTTCTTCCACCGCAGCAACTCTAGCTCCCTGCACATGTCAGGGCAGCCCCCACAACCCTGCAAAAGCTACCTGAACTGTGGGTTTTCCACAGCTACGTGGATAGCTGCCGACTCCACATACACTGACCAGCAGGCTGTAGGACCGGGACAGCGTTTGACAGTTGAACCCTGGCTGGCCTTCACTGCAGGAGCTGCTCAGGCACCTCGTCTCTAGCATGCCAGAAATGGTGTGCAAATTCATCATCTTTGATCATTCTACAAGTCATGGTGAAATCCCATGGACTGTTCAAACAGTTTGGGGGAGGGGGCAGTAGTAGTGAACAGAAGCCACAGGCCTACAACCATTCCTAAAAAGTTGTGTTTTACTAGAAAACTGCTCTGAAAGAAGTCTGAAGACCTCTGGTGAGGAAATAATTCTAAATGACTGTTAGGACACAAAAGAAATAGCAAATGTACGGGGTTTGTGCTGGAAAACAAGACAGTACTGCCGTTATGTGGAGTGAGATTGTGAGTTTCAAAGAATCAGAAAAACAAAGTCAAAACAGAATTAAGAGCTAGCTTGTTAGGCACAGTTGCGAAGCCATCGAGTCAGGCAATAATCAAAAATACCCAGTAACAACCATCTATGAATCTAGACCCTTTAACATTTTATCTAACCATTTGGCTTTCGATGCTCAAAACCAAGCAGCATTTCTACACGTACATGCATCTACACAGGATTCTTCCTCCCCTTTTTACCTGGGTATATTAATAAAAATGAGTCCTTCTATACTTGGCAACTCCACCTCGTGCTGGTCCACTTGAAGCTTTATGTCTCTGTGAAGATTTCTGGTATGACTTATCTTCTGCAGCCCAACTTTCACGTAAACTCCTTTGTTGTGAAACCTAGGAGCGGACAAACATCCTGTAACTAAAAGGAAAGGCCCACCATAGCACTCCTCCTCGTATGCACACTAGTATTGTCCTCTAGCAGGTATGTTTAAAGAGTTTTTCAATTAAAACCCTCTCCAAATTCTTCTAGCTTTACAGGAGAAACAAAGCATAAGCCATGAACTGGTACTTTACACACCTGTTACTTAAGGGATGATTTGTGCTGTCAAGGCACATGGAGATCTGTGAAATTTTATTACAGAAAAATCATCCCTTTTTAAAGTGTTGCCTGCATGCAATGCCTCTTTGAAATGTAAACTTCATGAAACATTTTAAAATGTTTTCTCATGCAATGCTGGAATAACTAAGGCACAAAAACCTTTGTGAGTCTTTGCTTTACGCATCGCTAATTCATTTGAAATATAGTGAGCTGTAGACACTTAAAACATGCTTAGTAATGTTAACTTGTGACAGAGCTCTAACATCTCTAATTTCAGAGTTAAAAAAGATGAGGAAGACTTTATGGCATCTCTAGAAATGTCAAAATATTTTAAGAATAACATAAACACATGTTAGTTAAACACACACAATATTTTCTTCTATAATGGAAACCTTTGGATACATGGCCTTCAGGGCAACCTTAAAATAAAAAGCATAAATTTCCATTATTTGACCCTACTAGCACATGGATGTCATTGGAATCCAACTCTGCAAAATCTTTCTAGCATTATATCTAACTGCTGTAGACATTAAAGTGGGGAAGACAGCCAGTTTAGCATGTGGGTTTTAGTCAACTCTTCAGACAGAGACTGTTCAGTTCTTTTAAATTATCAGATTGGAAATGATTAGTCCTACATGCTAACAGTTTTAAACAGCACTGAATTAAAGGTACCTGATGTAACACCATTTAACATGTGCTTAACATATGCTTCTACTCCAAACCAGACAGTAAGATACGTCTATGCTAAGACAGGTTTTGTCTAATTTGGATACAACTGAAAAGTAATGGAATATTGGTAGGAAACACAATACTTTAAATATCCCCAAGAAGTGCTCAGTTTTGTTGCATGAAGAAGGAAGGCTGCAGAAAATGAAAGAATATGACACAGTGCCATAACTGCAGACACAGTCCTGAATTACATGACTTCTAAGAAACACTTATGGATCACTGAGGATCCAGTGACATCGGATACAGCACCCTGCGACACACAACAAAGGGTAAACCTGTCAGAGATTAAATCCTATCAGTCCATTCTTGCATACATATTCTGCTCCATTTATGTATCTTATTAGGACATTGAGACCAAACAAGAATGAACAAACCAATTTCTTTCGTGTTACCAAGCCAATTCCTACCCAATGGTTTTGAAGGCGACTGAAAGATTTTATAATTAAAATGGCCAGCCAAGCTTGGATCCACCACTAAAGAGAATCACCGCCCTTCTTTGCATGTCTACATGTGGGACATGATTTGGGCAGAAAGTGCCAGTGGAAGTTGTCAGTCTACTGCTGGCAGTCGCCAGTAACATACTGGCTTGCCCACTTGGGTAGAAAGAATAAGCATCTCCTAAAGCAAACCGCTGGTCAGATACATTTTGCAGAAGTAGTTTCACCACAGTTAATTAGCAAGGCAGGAAGGAGGACGTTGTCCTTGGAGCAGTCTCCAACACCTCATTTGTGCTGAAGGAAATTGAGGTTTGTATTAGGTGAGACCCACATTGCAGTCACTGCTATAAATTACACTGCTGGGGATGAGAGAGGAGGGCAGGGTGTTACATGCAGCTCATCCATCCCCATGGAGCCAGTGAGTCCTTGCGTGAGCTTGGCTGAAACACTTGCATCATTATGTCATCCCAAAACTATTTGGAAGGCTCTCTGGAGTACAGTTATGGAAGCAACATCCTACTGCTCAGGTGAATTTTGGGATTTGACCTACGCAGCTCAGGAATCATGCTTTGGTTTGTTTTTCTACAAAAGATGCACTACAGGTATAGCAAACATTCACATACTACCTGATGCCCCACTGGCTACACCCAAAAAGCTACATACACCCTTCCTGAGGGACATTGAGAAGGCGGGACTGATTCTTCAGTTTAGCTAATTGAGTATCTCAGAATAGATAAGACTAAAAGGTGATCCTATGTAGGACCAGTTTCATGGATTATGAAAGTATACAAGTGTTTTTAAAGTATTGCAATCTTTGATGGAGCAAATTGAAAAACACCCTTTACTCTTAAAAAGTCCCATAAACAACTCATGCTGTCACTTTAGTCATCTCTGCAGTTGTTGCCCAAGCAGCAAGCACCTCTGGTGGCCAGAGGAAGCAAGACCATCGGTAACTGCTTTCCAAACTTTCATGAAAAAAACCCTAAAGAAACCAGTCCTCAGAAATGGTGAAGAAACGAAGTGAGCTAATGCAGAAAGCCAGACTTCTCAGAGCTCTTTCCAACTGCTGCACCCCGGAAAGGTAGGTTTGGGGAACTCTTTTTTTAAAGGTGATGTGCCAGGCCTTTTTAAATGAACTGCAATTTCCCATGAGCGCTAATAAACAGCTAAGTAACTTCTCAGAAGCAAACCTCTCAGAACTGCAGCACAGTGCACGGAGAGCTACCAAGCGGAACAAAATGACCACCTTTTATCTAGTCCTGCAATTCAACAAGCCCACCACTGGGTGGGAAACTACCACTGCAAAAGCCAACAGCTCTGACCAATAATTAGCATCCGTTTGAGTGCTCTTTATCGGGTGATCTTACTGACTGGGAAAGAACTTTACCAGGTTCACATACAGAGGACCCAAGATGGAAAAAAAAATAGTTAGACGGGAGCTCCTGAAGCATTTTAAAACCCAAAACCAACAAATCAACCAACCAATGCTTTCAAACCTTCTCCCCCTCAAAGAGAGAGAACAGTTCTCTATCTTTGTAAAACAATTCTAAACCTGCATTAAATTGTGGCGAATATTCTCTCTGCCTAACCTTACATCCAGGAGACTGCCCGCCACAGCAGTCTCCTGCCAATTTGTGATGGCACAAACAAGATGTGGTCTTTTCTGTAACAGGCAACCTGAAAGACTGCTCCAGGATCCCATAGGAATGGGGGACTGAAGACAGATGCCCTGATAACCTTAAGTTTTACACCGTGAAAAAGCTCACATAGCTTGGCACTCAACAACATAAAAACCATCACTGTCACAACATACTATTTCCATCTGCCCTGTGATGCAAAATCAGCACAAAATTCCCTGCAGGGAAGTCATCACTCACTGCACGGCGAGCTGCTAGCCGAGGGCAAGGAGTCCTGAGTCTGTAAAGAGACTCTTTACAGGGTGAAGCCAGAGAGCACACAGCTCTGAGGACATTTACCAGCTTAAGGTCTTGATTCAGAAGAGCGCTCAAGCCCATTTTTCTTCCAAGGACTACCTGCAATTTCTATTGCCACAACCTGCAATTTCCTGTTCTGCACTCAAAAGCAGCCAGTTCACATGCCAACAGCTGTTGCATCTGGCATTAAGTAGCCACCCTGCTTAGGTAATTTACCTAAAATCACAATAAAAAAATGCTAATCTTGCTGGCAAGAGTGTGCACTTGCATATCCTGGGAAAGGGTAAAGCCAGCAATTTTAACAACTGTTGTCACAGGCAGTGAAAGGCAGCAATCATGTGTCAGCACTGTTAGCCTGCAAAAGCTGTTTGTCTCCTGTAAAACCATACCTCAGTATCAATTTGTTATTTCATGGTTCTTTTCCAGATCCTGAATCAGAGAAATACATAGCCCTTCAGATTTACAAAGAAAAAAAAAATCTTCTCTTCTTTCCCACACACCCTTCAAGACACCCTGCTGGCACCATGTCCAAATATGCACGTAAAAGGTCTGTGAGAATGGTACTAAGTCATCACCCACTGTACCGCAAGTGCTGCACACTGTGAGCTGACTGAGATAAAGATTCAAGGGACAAAAAGCACACAAGGCAATAAAAGCCAAAGTATAACCCTTAAAATACAGTGGCAGTAAGAAGAGGACACATCTCAAAGTGCTGCAGCTTTGTAAAGTCAAAGCAGTATATTTTAAAAGGAAGAATGAACACAGATTATATTAATTGCACAAGTAAATCTGGAACAGTTTTATACACTACAGCAGGTGCTGCTATATGCAAACTTACTGCCTGATCTTACTATCCACGATGTTTTTATCCAGTGGGTTGAAAATGCAAACCAGTGCCTAATAGTAACTTAAGTATCGCAAACAACAGCCTGTATTATTCCATTTTTAAGAAAACAACATGAGCAAAACCTGTAATGATAGCCAGAACACTGCAAGATAGGTGGGATTATACTTCATTACACTCGTAACTGGTCAGAGTATATTTTTAATAGTTAGGATTTGAATACTGCATACTTGTAACTGGCTGTAACTCTCTTGGCAACCAAGAGACATTTTAGAGGACATTTACTCACAAACATAGGGGAAAGCAGACAAAACCAGTTTCTACAGGAATTACTCATTCATTATGCGAATGTGATTTCTTTTTCTCATCAGTTTCTGTGATTATAGGAAGAAGAAAAATATGTTCTTGATTGATCTGCATGCCAGAAAGGAGGAAGGTCTCTCTCCACACCTTTTTAACCACACAGTCTCTCTTGGGATACAGAAATCTTTTTTCATCCTTATTACCAGCACGCAAGTCCTACCTCAGCACTAAGCAAGAGTGGGAAAAGTACAAAGTAGTTCTGAACAGTGTTTATTGCTCGTGTAGCAGCACTGCCCTCCCTTCTACTAAAGGCTTTAAGTAAGAGCTATGTCCACAACCTCAAAATTTCACTGAACTCACCATTGCAGTTATTGGCAAGCAAGTGTACTGAATAACAATGGCAGGGCTTCCAAAAACTGCTTGGGTGCTCTCTCTTGGTAAAGGGAAAAAAAAAAAGAAACCAAACAAAACCCATGAATTCTGTGTCTGAGAGTTCTTGGCTAACTTAATTCCTCCCCGTGCCAGCTCTGCCTCAAGCAATATTGTTTGTGGATACCTGTAGCATTTCAGGATTATCAGCCATAGTGCAGGTTGGAAGTTATGCAACACCACACAGCTTGCCCTTCCACCCCTGTTATCCCCGGGATTACCTGCTATTAAATTTTCCTGGTTCTTCTTCTCTAGCATGATGAAAGTCCAAGCTCAGCTCTGCATCAATGCCAAGACCACAGTAATTGTTCATCTGTACAATCTGACAAAAAAATTTGTATTATTTCCTCCTTACATTTATAAATGAAGAGGTTCCAAAGTTTTTCAACAAAAGCAAGCTTTGCAGATGATCCTTCCAAGTCACTTGCATCTTGACAGATTCTGGAAAACATTTTCCAGAAACACTGCACTAAAAATAAATCTGTATGGACAATTGTTGACATGTGTAGTCATTGTTTCCAAAGCATCAGAAACTTCAAAATTTAATCTTAATTGCAAGTAACAAGCATAAGAAGGCAGAAATAAAAAGCAGAAATAAAACCAACCTAACTTCTCAAAGCAATTCTATGCAATAACAACACAAGTTACTAAACACTATGGACTTACCACAACATCACTGGGAAGACACTCTTCCTTACTTTGGAAGGTGACCAGCTTAAGCCACCATCTACAACCAACATTTTTATTTTCCTAAACAGAAACAACTAACACGAACCAACGGACAGGACTTCCACTCCAAAAAAAATAAAACAGATGCCACATATGCAGACATGCAACGGCAGTAAGATGACATAAGGATTTACTTCCTGTGTATGTTAGCAACTCAGTCATTTTTTAAACTGTTAAAGGAAAGATGAGAGTACTTTTTGGGGGGTGGGGTGGCGTGGTGTTTTTTCCTTGACACTCCAGTTTCACTAGCATTCTGGAAAGTGTTTGGCATTCCTTCAAAAAGCTTTTGTTATTTGAGAAATAAATCTCTTTCCAGCTGAAGCAAATAGGTATGCCATTGTCACTTAAATCATTTCATTAATCCTCTGTCAGATACTCTATGCCAAACAGCTACGAAGTGTAGTATTCTGCAGCCAACCATTCCTACCAAAACTGAAGCACTAGACCCAGATGTATGCTGTGTTCATTAAGGAATAGCTCAGTAAGGCCCAAGCTCAAAGACAGGCGAGCAATAACAGATTAAACTACATTAATATCTACCTTCTTTGTGATTTTCACTAGAACAACAGTTCCTAAGAATCAAATCCAAACGGTGCTCAGCTCACCTTTGGAGGCTCAGGTTCTGCAACACCATTCTCTGCACCTTCAGCTGGCTCTTCTGCATCCAAAAGGATAGTCCAGCGATCCATAAGAACGTCATCCGCCTCATCCACGGAAACCAAAATCGAGTAGGGGTCCTCCCCACTGTAACCAGCTCCCCAGCGCAAGACCCTCCCTAAGTCATTACCTGGACAACAAGGAAGAACCTCAAAATATGACTGCATTTCATAACTTAGCTAAAAGCATCAAAAATGCATCAGCCCTGCTCTACAAATCAAATTGCATCAAGGTTCTCCAAACATGGAAGTAGTTAGATTGGACTGGAAAGTTAACAAGGAGAAGAAGTATCTAGGTGGTGGTGTGGTTGCACGTGTGCTTAGTATCACATAGAGATATGCTGTCTAATCTGAAAAGCTTTCACAGGAAATGACACAAAAACCTGTTAGGGAGTTGAGAAGTCAGGGAGCAGCTGAGTTCACTGTTTTACAGCAAGGGCTGATACACCTGTGGTTGTCAGGGGGAGAATGTTTTGCCCTCTCCAACTCCTGGTACTCAGACACACCCATACCAACACCCCTGCTGTTCATTTTTTCTTCAGAAAGCATGACTGACATTTCCTTGAAAAGCTGGTATTGCATATTTGCTCTCCAACACCGGCCAGAACTGAGTCATGGCATCTGTACTGCAAAACTCTGACAGATGGATAAATAAAGATAAACCTTCTGGATGACTTCTGCCCTCAGAAGACTGGTGCTCACTGTGATTCTCACCTGTTCCTAAAGGTAAGATGGCAACCGAGGGCTCTGAGCACACCAGCTTGTGTCTGATCTCCTCCAGTGCACCAAGGACCCAGCCAACGGTGCCGTCCCCTCCGCACACCAGCACTCGGAAGGAAGGGACTTTAGAAAATGTGTGAAACCTTCATTGAGAAACAAAGCAAAGGGGAAAAGGAATGTTACAACATAGTACGGGAAAAGCAAAGCCTCTTACTATGCTATTAATGATAACACATTATTACTGGATTTCTTCCCTGCCCTTTACCACCAGTTTCAGGATGAACTGATCAACAGGATCAAGTGGTATCCCCCAGGGCTCAGTTCTGGGGCCAGTTCCGTTTAACACCTTTATTAACGACCTGGATGAGGGGATTGAGTGCACCCTCAGCAAGTTTGCAGATGACACTAAGCTGGGTGGAATTGTTGATCTGCTTGAGGGGAAGGAGACTCTGCAGAGGGACCTGGACAGGCTGGATCGATGAGCCAAGGTCAACTATATGAGGTTCAACAAGGCCAAGTGCCAGGTCCTGCACTTTGGTCAAAACAACCCCATGCAATGCTCCAGGCATGGGGAAGAGTGGCTGGAAAGCTGCCCGGGGGAAAAGGACCTGGGGTGATGGTCGACAGCAGGCTGAATATGAGCCAGAAGTGTGCCCAGGTGGCCAAGAGGGCCAACAGCATCCTGGCTCGTATCAGAAATAGTGCAGCCAGCAGGAGTAGGGAAGTCCTTCCCCTGTACTTGGCATTGGTGAGGCTGCACCTCGAATACTGTCTTCAGTTTTGGGCCCCTGACTATAAGAAAGATGTTGCGTTGCTGGAGCATGTCCAGAGGAGAGCAACGAAGCTAGTGAGGGGTCTGGAGCACAAGTCTTACGAGGAGTGGCTGAGACAACTGGGGCTGTTCAGCCTGGAGAAGAGGAGGCCGAGGGAAGACCTTATCGCCCTCTACAACTGCCTGACAGGAGGCTCTAGCGAGGTGGGTGTTGGTCTCTGCTGCCAAGTAACAAGAGATAGGACAAGAGGAAATGGCCTCAAGTTGCGCCAGCAGAGGTTTAGACTGAAGATTAGGAAAAATTTCTTGACAGAAAGGGTTGTCAAACATTGGAATGGGCTGCGCTGGGCGGTGGTCGAGTCCCCATCCCTGGAGGTATTTAAAAGACGGGTAGACAAGGTGCTTAGGGACATGGTTTAGTGGTGGAGAGGTATGGTTGGGCTCGATGATCTTAAAGGTCTTTTCCAACCAAATGATTCTATGAACTTCAACAAAGTGAATGGAAAACCAGGAATTTTAAAACAGTTTTCTCTAAAAGGAGTGAAACCCACATACTTCTAAGATTCTTCACAGCTAGAGTTAGATTGTTTATCACTCCCTTTTTCACCAAAGACGCAGAGATCTAACTATTCATAATTTCAGTATGAACATCTGTAACTCTCTAAATCCTAGTAGAGATGTTAAGTAGTGGTGGTTTTTTTACTTAGTCATATGACTCATAGTATATTTTCTTCTTCGTGGTACTATTTTCCTGGTTGCTCTTACCTTTTGTGGCTTTTCATCCTACATACTGAGATATCCTGCAAAGGAATGTTTATTTCCCATTGCACAAGAAGCAATGAACAACTGAAAGCATTTTGCCATAAAGCTACAGAAGGATTCCATGGGCAAAACAAAACGAGCGAGTTACTGAAGTTGCAGCTTGAACTGCATTAGAAAGACAACAGGATTATACAGTTCTGACAAAAAAACTTTGTCTGCACAGCTTGTTTTTCTTGCCTCCTGCATAAGCTGCATTTCTCCCATGAATGCTTTTCTTTTGAAGGGCTTGTCATGACAGTTCTTTGTTAAAGTGGTGCTGAAGGAACGAGGCTACTCTGAGTAGGCTACAACCATCACTTTCAGTTTTATGAAGCTGGTAACAAAGTGGTGTTGATTAAATCAAGTAATTGGTTCCTGCCTCTCTACAAGCACATTATGTTCTGTTCCTTCTATTTAGAAATGTTGCAGCTGTGATCTGCCAGGCCTTGTTAATTCTGCAATAGTGGCCCAGTTTCAAGAGTTAAGATAGAAAATTTTATTACGCTTTCCTGTTAGTTCCCATGGAACATCAGAGAAAATACAAGCAAAAATGAGCCCTTGTCGGGCAATGTGACATTTCTCTTTCCATGCCCATTTGATTATAAAATATTTTTATTTTTAGTAGTTATTTAATCTGTGTTACTGTAAAGTACATATGACTTTCCCAGGACTGGACTCTTATTAGACTTGACACAAGCATATACATCACGAACCACTCTACTCTCTTTTCTTTAGAGAAAATTGAAGTTTAAATGTGTTTTCACAGTGAGAACCAGACAGGAGGAGTGATCCACTGCTCTGGTCTTCAGGCACAGAACAGAAGCAATTTAAATCTTTATAACCAGTGAATCTGATACACCCTTTCAAAAAATAACAAAATTACATAAATATAAAGATTTTAAAATATAATGGCTTACCCAGGCAGTGGGCCACCATTGGTAAGTTCAAAGACCTGATGTGGGTTTAGCAGCTTTCTAAAACTGTACAGCAGATCCCGACCTTTCAGACCACCACTTTTTGGATTCACAAATACAAGAAGTGGGCAGCAGTTCTGTGGTATCTTGGAAGCCTGAAAGAAGACAAGTAAAAGGATTAGCCAAAACCATGACTAGGCAGGAAAATTACAACTGCACCTCAGAAGTACTTCCTGATGCTTCCTTGATGCTTAGTAAAAAAAATCCAGATTCAATAAATAAAAAGATTCAATGTCCAGCCAATGTACAGGTTAGCTGGTGATCTGGTTTTTCTAGGAACTGAAGCTTCCTTAACCAACTCCAACTACACAGTTGAGCCTGATGCTAAAAACAAAGGCACTGTAAGTAGTCCTTCCTACACATTTGTAGTAAACAGTCTATGCCAAAGAATAACGTGAGGGATAAGGTACCTTCCAGAGTCATGTACAATTCAAACACTTCCCTTGCAAAGAGAGACCTTCTCCCAAAACTAATTGAAACATTTGCCTTAAGTTTTGTGGTCGTTTTAGAATGTAGGTTGATTTTACAAGGACAAAACATTTCAAGACAAGGGTGTTTGGGGCAGATGCTGGCATGCCCCTCCCCCTGAAATAAGAGGCCAAAAGCTTCTTTTAAAAATATGTATTTAAAATCTTTCATCAGGAGGATTTGGTGCCAGCATCTTATGATCCTCACACCTCTGCTAAAGCTGCTGCTGCAAGGGCTCTCCAAGCACGGCCGTGCTGTGTGGGAGCCTGGTACCCATCCAGAAACCATTCCCAAAGGAAGCCACTGCACATGGCAGAGGAGGGATTGCCTGGGGTACTCCAGAGACTGCACAGGAATGGTACCCGCAGCCTCACTGGAGGTCAAAATTTCCAGCCAACAGAAGCACTCCCTGGGGACTGGCATTTGGCCAGCCAGCCCATAAATCATTCCATAAAACAATTTGTAAATGGTTCTAGAAGGATCAGAAAACCTTTCTGCACACCTTTCACCCATCCTGCCACAGGGCTGTGGGGCAGGTACACACCAGAAAAGCCCATCGCACATGTCAACGAGCACGCTTCAAAACGGAAACGTTTGCCCCAGTCCCTAAGTCGTGGTAATTTGTATTGACAAATCGGCCAGCATTCAGGGAACTGCAATTTGTCACGCAGCTGACAGGATGGATTCAGGGAACACAACAACAGTGCTAAATATAAGTCGATTTAGACAAGAATGATTCAGGGGATGGTGAGGCAGCAGCATGACTGCAGCATTCAAACATGCGGAGAGATACCAACAGCTCCAGAGGGGAGGAGACAGCACCCAGAGAGCCTGTCAGCTGCTGTCGATGAGCGACCACCAGAGAGACTGAACTAAGGCGAAGAATGGAGAAATCAGGACAAATGAATGAGTAACTTTTTGGGGAAGCAAACTGGAGTCTGGTGCTGAGGTACCCTAGACCATCGTCCACCTGTGAGCTGATCTGGATGCTTAAAAACAAATGATCATCTGGGGCTTCCTGGTATTTGACAGATTTCCTCAAATTTTGCTTTCCTGAAAGAGCTGGGTGCTAATCCTCTGCAAGTCACACCCTGACAGATGTGTCAAGATGCCCACAAGCACATAAAAATCCTTCTCCTCTGTGTCACTGCCTGCATGAGAAATGTCCCCTGCTATCCAGCGTGACTTCAGGCACAAACAGAAACACACTGGGAAGAGGGACACTAAGCAGGTAAGAAGGTTGGTGGAGCAGGCACACACTTCTCTTGCCCCTTCTTTCCTCATCATTCAGATTGTACCAGAGACATTCAGTTCGAAAACACATTTGTTTTCTCCTCCCAAAAAATTAGCCAAGCAAGGGCTATTTTGGCTGACAAAGAGCCATAAGAGCCTCAACATTTTGTTTTACTGGACAGGTTTCACTGCTGACAAAACAACTAGGCTGGTGAGACAGAGGCTGCACAGCTGTCCACACAACTTTCTCCAGAGGAGCCACCTTCACGCTATACTGTGATGACTGCTAGGTCAAAACACCTCTCGACTCCATATTCAGGCTTTACTGGAAAAGGGGAAGCAATTATTCAAAGCGTTCCCAACACACAACAAGGGTAATATATTTATTTCTGTTAAGCACATGGAAAGGATATTTTTAGCCAGCAAAGGAAGTCTAAGGAAAACAATGCATGCCACTGTCACAAAAAGGAAGGACTTCTTGAGTTGTAAGCTCAAGGATCCACACATCCCAATGAGAGAAGTGGATTTCCTCCCCTCGAGCCATCACAAGCATTAATAAAAATAGTAATCAGAGCCCTGGCTTTTCCAGAAGTAAAGCCATTCTCATTACTGCATCGGTTCCTGCACCATCATCTGCCATATCCCACTATGACTCGTCCTTTGAAGGTCCCACAAGCAACGAAAGGCAGAGCAGTTCTGAAAGCAAACGGCATGTCCCATGGGGTAACAGGGCAAACTGTTCCTTTCCTGCACTCCTCGTTCCAGCTTCTACTCTGCCCTACCTTCCCACCTGACCACTTCCCATTTCTTCCTCTTCAAAGCTTTTTTACCACCTAAATTTCACCTCCAGCCATTTCAAATTTCTGAACAATATAGGCTATCTGAAATATCAGGCTTGGTCCAATGCCCAGAAACTTCTGGGCTTTAAAAAAAAGCAGGGTAAGGGGATAATAGAAAGAAAATATATTCATTTCTGCAGCTCACAGTAAACAAAACCTTTTTCAAAACACAATGAGAGAAAAGAAACCAGCCCAACATTCAAGTCAAACAAATACCTTACTTGAATGTGGACAAGAACATTTGATTACCTTCTCTTTTTCAGGAAATCAGGTTCTAAAAATACTGGGCTTGGACATTTAGAAGTGACATGTTGAACACATGTTTTGTATTACTTGCTTTTACAGGCAAGTTCTAACACACTGGGTTTAAAACCAAGTAACTGAAATAGTTCACAAGGAATTTCAGGGAATCACAAAGATTCTTGAGATGTGGAAAGGGAAAGCTCCAAGGCATTCAAAAGCACAGCTGTGTTTTGGAAAGTCATCTGAGATCTTACCCAAGTAAATATATATTGTTGCAAATGCGTATTTACAGTTTCTACAAAACTGCCATCTAAATTTCCTAATTGTCAAGTGTCAATATTGTGCAACAAAAAAAAGTGAGATGTTTACCCTGTATGCTACTGAGACTCCCAAGCAGCTGTGGAGAATGGCTGGAGCTTACAAAATACCGGTACATAGTGTACACTGAGCAGTCCTACTACTCAAAACCATCTTTGCTCAAGCAGCTTCTAACGTAAATCCCTAACTATACCTATTTAGGACTAAATGCACCTACGCAGAATAAACAGCAGCATTCTAGAAAGTGCTTAGCCTTACAGTTAACTTGCTTCCCATCACCACTCTTCATTAAACTAAAAGGAGTAAGAGACACTGTTAAATCCCTAGATAAAGGCCAGCTTCTAAGAAAACAATTGTTTTTTCGGTAGGGGTTAAAAACTCTGTGACAGTTTGTATAGCAGAGCTGCTGCATTGCTTTCTGAGAAGTACATGCTCTGTTACGATTATGGCCACATGGACAGCACTCTTGCGCCGCAGAATTTTTTTTAATCCCTTAATAAAGCCCCAGTGGGGACGTGCAAATGAGTTTGTTGCTGGGCAGAAGGGGATGTGTGACTCACAGCCTGAGGACTCCCTTCCCCCTTTAGCCCTGGCTTCAGTGCTCCGCTTGAGGAGTGAAATCTGCAAAGGGGTTTTGTGTTGGCTGGCTTTCAGGAAGGAATTTATTGCTCGTTTCTTGGAGACAGCTGAAGGAGGCCATGTGATTTAGACACTCTGACAGTCACTGTGAATTGCTTAATTTGTCAGGATTAGCACAATGCAGCTTCAGGCTGGGGCAAGATATTTTATTATCCACACTAATCCCCTTTCTGTTGAGCGTACAGTGTAATCACATCTCACGACAAAGCAGAACAAGGCGTTCTGTGCCACAGGTCTGCCAGCACGACAACCACGGCCTTCCAGGGTGGTGGGCTGTCTCCTGGAACTGCAGAGAGCTTTAAGTGACGAGTAAAATTCAACATTTTCAAGTGGGCTGTCTGCAGCATCTCCCATGTGCAAGGACTCATGATGCCCCAAGCACAAAACTCCTCCACCCTGGCCAGAAAGGAGTCATTGGATCTGATAAGGAATGATGTGCAAGGTGTCTCAACACAACCAGAGCATCAGCTGGGTCAACATGGCAGGAGCTCAAGCCTTTTCTTTACTTTTTGGGGAGCTGTGGCAGTGGAAGGGCGGAAAGTACCACTTTCATGGTGTTTTGGCTAAGAGGGTCATTAAACTATCACGCTTTTAAGCTGGACACATTTGTGTGAAGAATTAGAGGAATGAAGGAAATGGAAAATTTTGCCTTTTCAGGAAATTCCCACATCTTTTTCTACTACTCTTAAGGAACCTACATAGAGTATGTCAGAGGGCACTCCACTGCCCAGTGGCATTAGTGATAAAGCCACAAAACCTTGTCACCTTCATGCTGATATTGGCCTCATACAACTCTCTGCTCACTTCCTTGTTTGCCAGTACCACAAGAGGAGTTCTGGTAAATTCGCTTTCAATTCAAAGATTCAGCTATGCAACTCCTTTCACCTTGACATGCTACCAAAGAGTGATACCAAACTGCTGCTGCAGGTCCTTACACGCAGTGGCTAAACAGCTTTGTAAGAGACTGTATTTTTTTCACACTGCTGCAAAGAGAGTGTTTTCATTTATTTGGATATTGTGAAATGAAAAAGTGTTTGATTAAATTCCTAAAGGCCCGAGATCATGAACCAGCAGAATAGATTACCACTTATGAGCACACTAGTTGCTTGCCTTTCTAATAAGCAGTCAGTGCAAATTGATTCTGCGTTCAAGCTTTTCAGTAAAGATAAGAAAAGGATGAATTGTTTCTGGCAGGCCTGACCATGCCAGACTAGAACTGGTCTGACTCCTTAGAAAGAACATCAGATACTGAGTAAGCGATTCTCACCTCTGGAAAATGAAGGACTAGCAACCTGCTAACCGCCAATTTACTTCTGTGCTTCTATCGACTTTTAAGAAGGGTTGTTTTGTTTTGTTTGATTGGTTTTTTATTTAAATTGCAATTTGGAAAAATCATTTATTAACCAAAACACTATGGCCTTTGTTTTATCACCCATTCTCCTTCTGAGACTACACATTAGCCTTCACTCCCAATTTCTTTGTATTTCACCCACAAGAGGAATGTCAAACACAGCATAAATTTAATATTGTGCTCGGTTCCTATTTAAGTATTTCCTGGCACTGTATTTAAATGGTCACAAAGTATAAACAAAGTATAAACAAAGGCTAATAGTATCATAGGCTAAAAGGATACTCTAGGTTGGACAGTACCTCAGGAGGTCATCCAGTCCAATTGCTACCCACAGTAGGGTCAACAATCACTCATTAGTTTACCCTAGGTAACTGGTGAACGGTATAAGCTGGATGGCCAACACACATACGAACAACACTTGAAGTATTATTTAGATTAACTCTTGGCTCATTTCAGTGAGATGACCAAATATGAACAATACATGCTGAAATGGAAACAAAATGTATGTGCACTTGTCCAGCCCCTCTCTCCTCCTTACGTATTAGAAAATCATTCCTAGCAGTCCCCTGAACTGGAGTTAGTAAAAATATCTTGCATCAGGTAACAGACAGCATTATGGGCATTTTCCGGGCATCAAGAAGTTGTCTTCAACCATATCTAGTGTCAGAAAACCAGACACATGTAATCAACACAGTGGGGTATGTTCAACTTCACACACCGTGCACCAAATTCAGGCTTATAATGTATTTGCCTAAGAACTGCTGAAGACAAGAATCCAAAAGCAGTCCCATCTTCATGCTGCCTTCTGTTTCTGATAACAGAAACTCTGAAACCTAGTTTGAATGAGGGGGGACCTTGTTTTCTAGGGATCTCACAAAACAATGCCTATGCATGCATGCATAAGAACAAGGCTTTCACTTTTTTTGGAGGGGGAACAGTTTTTAAACTTGCCAGTTTCATTTAAGCACTGCCACTAGTATCTGCTCATAGAAAAAATAATTTTACCGTCACAAAACTTTGACAAGCGTAGGACTCTCTAAATGGTAAAAGCAGGCATGTAAGTTTGCAACTATGGTTACTGAACTTGAGACCCTCCCATCTAAAGTCGTTTCATAGTTCCCACTAATTATGTGGGGTTTTTTTAAGTTTTCAACCTTCTGTGAAGTTCTAAGAAGTCAAACCAAGACTCTCATTCCACTTGTCATCATGCAACTCCAGAAAGACAGTAACTGCAAGATACAGAACAGCTCAGCAGAAGTAACTATGGCTACACTCTCTTTTGGACAGAACTTACATCATCCTGGTTAAAAAACACTTTGCTCAGTTAACCATTTCCCTCTTTTCACCCTGAATCTGCTTTGTTAACATGAAACCTATTGTTAAACCAACTGATTCATAGAAAGTGATTTGTAACCATAAAAATTAATAAATCAGAGTCAAGCCTGAATTTGTGCAAGGACTCTTGCACTAAATCTTTGAAAAGACTATTTTCCTCTGAAATCCACAATGCGGCATTTAAACAAGGTCAAACTTCCTCTGCCACAGAATGGGGGAGGATGAAGATACTGTAAATGCAAAGATTAGCAGTACTACTCTACCTCATGGTTATCAAGGGAACACATTGGGTCCTCAAAACAAAGTTGTAAGGATTTTTTAGACACACAAGCTAAAACTAAAAACCCATCTAACTTTTTGATCACTGAAAGAAATAAAGAAGAAAAAAAAAATGTTTTTCTCCCCTTTACAGTTGTATAGTTATGCAGTTGTATAGTTATTCCTGACAACTCAACAGTAACAGTACAAGTGACTTAACTCAGCAAAGTATATCATATAAGTGAAGTACAGGCTCTCAAGTATCTTTTTCCCATCACAGTACTTGCTGGCTCCTTTGAATAAAACATATTTTCATTTACTTGCAGTAGAAAAAGTCTTAAGGTAGTTGTTTTTCTTTTAAAGACATACTTTAAATCCAAGCCCATCTCTTACCATAACTTCAGGAATCACCACAGCATTCAGAGGCTTGTCATTGACAGTTGTGTCTTTAACTAGCATATATATTCTTTCAGCTTCAGAAAAGCATGAAATTTCGAGTACAACAGCACCTGTAAAGAGGCATCAGAACTATTTTTTATATTTTCTATTATTATTAGGAAATCACTATCATCCTATCACAGCAAAAGTTTACTCAGGACATGATTCAGAAGAAGTTACCCTGAAACACTTGTGGTTGTTGGTTATCAGTGAATTGGGCTATTCTGGTTTTTAAGCCTTCCTTCATACTCCCAGACACACCCCAGATTTTTGTTAAAGCAAAGCACTTTGAGGACAAGAAGAACTACAGCACAGAACTGATGCATATTTAAAAACTTCCTTTGGGCTTCAGAAGTATGACCTATTTCCATACTCTTCATCGTAACAAACACACTGTTCTTATCATGTAGAAGTGACAAAGGTATCAGGTTTCATTTTGTATCTCATTCTTAAAAATCCAGTGGTTCCATTAATTGATAATATCTCAGTAAGAATTACTACAAGCAAATATTTGGGTTGAGAAGCAATTTAAGATCTTTATGTTGGCTTAGGTCCTGTAAGGGGAAGTTGCGGAAGAAAGGAAGACAAAAGGGAAAAATAAAAGAAAATAAAATACTGACAAGTTAGTTTAAAGTAAGATACTTAGTCAGGAGGAAAACAGGGCAGGACAAGAGCAAAGGGCATAACGGACAGCATATGAGATGTAAGCTGGTAATACAACGTGGCTGCAACCAAAAGTGAAGAGTCAGGAAGTTACCAGAAACATAAAAATACTCAGGAAGCGCAAAAACACAGAGAACAAAATCACATACAAGCAGAAGCATCTGAAAAACACATGCAAGTAAACTTGGTTAAGTGAAGCTGTGATGTGAAAAGAGTATCACAAAATCAACTATTCCCCTTTGGCAAATATGAAAGGGAGGAGGCGCGTCTGAAAGCTTTATGGTTTTCCTCATGAAAAGTCAGTATTAACTAGCCACGTGGAGACAGCAAATGCACATAGGAAGCACACATCAGTCTTCAAAACCATGCTAGAGAAAGACTCGTTTAGCAGTCACGTGGAAGTTAAGCCTGCCAAAGGACATGAAACATCTTGGATATGGACACCTGAACACATAAAAGATAAATTCCATACTTTTACACAGGTCTCCACATGACAACTGCACTAAAGCCGCACAGATCCACTGCTGCTCTGGCTCTCAGAAGCCTAACGGCTTCTCTGACCTTGCTGAAATAAAATTCGTACAGCAAAAGCAAAGCAACAGCTCAAAGGATGAATGCAGAGATGAGTGTCCTGATTTTCTTCAGACTTCCAGCCACTGAACCCCCACTTAGCACCGTGCTAGGAAATAGTGACTGTGAAACTGGCAACAGCAGTAGATGTGACTTTGACCACCTCAGAGGTTCAATTAATTGACTCTGATCAACAAGGGCCTTTGGGACATGGGTTAAGTGCGCTACTTATAGGTCACTCATCAGTATCTAGAAAGGGTATATTCATAGTGCCAGGACTCATTGACGCTGATTACTGCGGAACAACAAAGTATTGTGGGAATACGTGGACAATCCAGGTTCTGTAAACAGCGTGTCCTTGGTACACTGAAACAAGCAAGAAGCTATGAGCTAAAGCAAAAATGTGCTGACCACAAGTAGAAACTAAGACAGCTGTGTTCTTTGTTTTATATATCCAATCAGTACTTGAGAATAAGCGCGTGGACAGTAAATCTTAAACCAATGAAAAGTATTACAGGTGCCGTCACTGTCTGAGGAGAAGCGCGTGGACAGCTAATTGTTAAGCATTTGTAACCAATCAGTGAATAGTGTACGCGTGGCGTGGAAGCACTAAGACTATATTAACCATGTTGTAAGCACAATAAATCGGCATTTGCTTGATCATATTGATCGTGTGCAGTGTCCGTGACTTCCGCATCAACATGAAACAATCCCATCAGTTCAACAGCAGTACCATATTTTAGTGGTTTAGAAGTCAAAATAAAGAGAGAGCACTTGAGGGGTTTTTAATGTTTCAGTGGTGTTAAGACTATTCAGTTGAAGTGCAACTTCAAAACTCATTTTTAGGATGAAATATAACCACTTTCTGGTACACGAGGCATGAAGCCAATCTTTTTATTTTTTTTAAATAAGGTAACACTAGTCCACTGCTCTTCATAAATACAACGTCTTACATTTTATCTGAACAGCTTTTTGCTTATGCAATAAGACTAACATACTCTGAGCTTAGAGCCTCTAGTATTAAGCTGCAGTTTTGAAAATAGACATTGTTTGCAAGACTAAAAATCTTAATGCTTACCTTGTGCTTGATAAACATGACTCACAGATACTACATTTGCTGCAAAGGGCAAAAATATAAACACATAAAACCTTGGGTACATTTAAAGTAAATATTTAAAATATTTTTTAAAGTTACATAAATACAGTATAAATAAGTACTAAAAGTTATACAAATATAGGGAGAACGTCCAGCTAACACTTTCCCTCTCCTAAGTTTACTTTGCAAGATAGAAAAGCTAAACTGATATTCATAAAAGGTGACTATGAATTCTTTCTGGCATTTAGTTTAATTCCTCTTGAAGTTACATAAAATATTGGGAAAAATGCTTAGTTTCCTGAAATAAAAAGCATGATGCATTCCAGATGCTGTTTATAGAACACGTAGATTGAAAGAGTATTATGAAAAATCAATTACGCTTCTTTGAAAAATAAATTCTTTTCACTGAGTGCTTGTCCATTTGTGTGTGCACACACTGCTCATACTTCTCTGTGACCAGGCACAGAGCTCATGAACAACATGAAGGACAGCCCACGCAAAAAATGTCAGCGGTTAATAAAGGTGAGGAACATTCACGCACAGGGAATTAAACCGCACTGCCATAATTTGAACGATGTAAGGTACGTACGGTTCACTTCTAAAAAGTGATGCTTTTTCACTGAAAAAAACCCAATGGTGTGGTCACATACAACTCAACTAATGTAATAATAATTCTGTGAATAATGAGCTGTCACATCTCTCATGCACCCATAAGCATGTTAAAATAAATAATAAAGGCTGCCCGTGAGAGTACAAGGCAGACTGATTTTTCAAATAAGGTCAGAAAACGTTAAGAAAAAAATAATAAAAAGGATTAATAGATGCTACTACGTTTTATTCTGTTCAAGTGACTATATCTCAAAATGCACCCGTCTACTTACTTTTGATAGCTAATTCATCCTTGAGAATATTTGTGTATTCTTCAGGGGAAAGTTGAGGTGGAAGACCACCAACAAATAAATTTACTTGTACAATGGTTTTACTGTTTTCCACAATGTAAAATCTTGTTTGATTCATCTGACGTATTGAAGTCTACAAAAATAAAGAAAAATAAATGATGTGACATTTGGCAAAAAGGTATCATGATAGAAAATCCCAAATAGTTCTGAACTTAGCAAGCAAGTCCTCTACACCTAGAGAATATCACAAACAGAAACAAACTTTAGTCCAAGCACTTAGCTTCTCTACAGATGAGCCAGCTGGGGGGGTAACTGATTACTTATTTCTCTGTAAGAAAGGGGGCTCCCTAATTGCTATGAAAGAGGATCAGGTTTCTTTTTTATATTTACCTTTCTTATGTCCTTGAGTCTGTTAAGAATCAGTTCCTGATTGTCCAGGACCATGCGCTGAACTAGAGACAGCAAGAATGTCAATCATGTTTGCACTGTAAGTTATTATCAGGCTCAATTAAATAAAAACAATAGAAAAGAATTTAGGGAATATTCACAACTCTGCATATAACTAACATTAACATAAAGGACCACAGAGACCTGAACTACTCATTATTTGACAGAAAAAACACATAGGTGCTTTGAACAGTTTGATTTTGTTCACAGTTCTTAAACAACAACCTCCTTTAAAAAAAGTCAGAAACAGCTTGAAGCCACTCGGAGACAAACAGTACTTTGGTAAAAAGCTAACCATTTGACAGAAGACTTTAAAACTACAGTAACAACCAACTTCTGTATTTTATTAAAATATTAAACCAACTGTAACAACTTCCAGCTAAAGCAAGGTTGTAAATGGTGCTTTAAAACAGAGCACCAGAAACCAACCAAGGTTAAGACACTCACATGGCCACAATAACCTTCTAGAACAACTTACTGGTAATACTCACAAAGAAAGCAAAGTATCAGGCCAGTATCTGAACTACAAAGAGATTTACTTGGGTGTGGCCAGGGCATCATCAGACTACTTCAGTGGCTTTTTTTCTCTCTCCATGCAGCCTTACAAATAATGAAGCATAAAGGGATGTGAACTTGGAGAACACCAGCTCAGCTCCTGCAGGATCACAGACCTCTTGAGCAATGCTAGGACTGTGTATTTCTGTACTTCATAATGCACGCACATACTTGGACCATCTCAGGACTCAAATTTGTTCCTGTTTGGGGGCAGTGTCAGGGAAAAGAGGAGAGAAGGAAGGGAGCCAACTGAACTTTACAATTAATTTTTACTAAATAACTGCAGTTAAGAAATTTATGTCAGTTAAAGGCAGCTCCCCAAAACAGCGCTCTTTGCCAAAGTGTCAATACCCACCGGAAACCACTAATAAACCTCTATGTGATGATGAAGGAGGAGAAGGGAACCATATTCCCGAAGGATATACAACACAGAAAAGAACCAACATGACATCTGATCAAGTGTTTCAACATGATGGCAAAGTTTCGTTTGTGAAGGCATTTATTGCAAAGAATTAAATGTGACTGTGTTAAAAAGGAAAAAAGAAACCCAGATGATCAGTTACAGATGTGCCTTTGGCCAATGCTTCTTCACTTACCTTGCTTACTGCCCATAAGCACTTCCACCAATTTGAAATTTTGTAGGCACTCCGCCTGCCAAAAGATGCAACATGTAAATGTAGTTTCTGAATGAAATGTAATTTTGCCCAATGTTTATGTTAAAGTTATGTTATACACTGTACACACAGAGCATGGAAAATTAAACATTTTTTAATCAATCACAATGTTCTTCCCTATACCCACTCCTCCCGAGCCAGGAATCTTCATTTTATACACTCAGCCTCCCACACATGGTGTCAGGCTCCCATGCCCTTAACTGTGTTGGCATCCTCACAGTCCCATGCTGAAGGGGCATCTGTAAAGCCTGCTTAACTCTACCCTGCAAATAGGATATTTCTAGAGTGTCCTTCCAGAAGAAACATGCAGGACTAGGAATGAACCTGCTCTTTGAGAAGATGGCCCAGGAACCAGGCTTGCCCAAAGCTGTCTGACCGGTCCCCATCTCCTGCGCCACTCCACCAGCATTGCTGGGATGACACCCTCTATCACATGTACCGCAGCCACTTCTCCCAACTATACTGCCAGGAACCATCCAAGTTCCTCACAGCTGTACCAGAAAAGTTCACACAGCCAAGAGCTGCCCCATTTACTAGGGTTATTGCAACCCTGGAAACATGTGACACTCAGGACTGAGGAATTCTCTTAATTTTTGGCCTTGAGACTAAGAGGACAAGTGATCTTGCTTTACATGTCATGGACAGGCATTAAAAGCCTCAACTGCCTACATTTTCTTTGCATGAAATTTGATGAGAGCAACCTGGAGAGGATCTTCAGCACAGGCAAATTCTGGATATTAAAAAGAGACTTCCCACACGTGCATCTTCATACAGAAAAAGGAGAAAACCCTTTAAAAAAATGCAGTATCAGAGCCAAGGAATTAAGTCTATTACAACATAAAACTAGCTTCCCAAATTCAGAGATGTGAAGATCTTTCCCAGACTTTCCTGTCTGACAGTTGCTTTTTTTCAGATGAGACAAGACTTCTGACAAGATTTTCCAAGTTTTGCTAAAAGGTCCACAGCACTTGAGGAAAAGGACTGAAATCAAATCCTAGAACCATCCTATGGTGCAGAACAAGCTGCACGCACTATGTAGCTGTGTACACCTAGATGGAGATATACGATTATCAACTATGGCAGACAGCTAGCCACATGCATGTTCTTATGTACCCTGTAAATAACCACAAAAGGTGGTGGTTGTCCTCTATGAGCATGGCTGTGCCCTGGAGCAGCGGCAGTATGCTGATCTGCTGGTGTGCTCACAAGCCCCTACTGCTGAATGAAATGCACATGCTATAGCTTCATGCCTCCACACCTGTGTGTCTGATTAGGATTGCCAGTGTCTTTGGCACACTTGCAAATCCCACTAACATGTTTCCTAAAAGTCATGCTATCTTGGTACCAACTACAAGAAAGACAGGCAGACTGAAAAGAGATCATCTTGCAAGAAAAACATGAGCATCTACAAAATTACAAGACGCATCTAATAATTTCCAATGAGGTGGGAGGGAATGCAGATGATAAAGAACATACGTGCCATTCAGCCTTGAGTCCTTCCTTATAGTCCTTGAGGACTACAGAGATGCTGTTCACCGCTGCAGGCAGAAAATCTGTGTGGCTCGATTAGAGTTCAAGCTGGCCAGCACCATGAACTACAACAAAAAGGGCTTTTTAATATGTTAAAGCAAAAGAAGGATCAGAGATAACAGTGGTCCATTGTTTGATGAGGTCGGTCACCTCACAAACAGGGATGCAGACAGGGCAAAGATGTTTAATGCCTTCTTTGCCTCTGTCTTCAACACTGACAATGGGCCCTGGAGCCCTGTGTGGGAAGACCATGACTAAAGGGATGATAAACTCCCAGCCAACCCTGAACTTGTTTGAGACCTGCTGCTCCAGGTGGATGCGCATTAATCTATGGGGCCCAATAGGATTCATCCCAGGGTACTGAAAGAGCAGGCCAATGTCATCGTGGGACCCCTCTCCATCATTTTTCAACGGTCTTGGGAGTCTGGAGGGGTCCCAGTCGACTGGAAGCTGGCAAATGTTGCCCCAGTTTTCAAGAAGGGTAAGAAGGAAGACCCTGGTAATTACAAGCCTGTCAGTCTCACTTCAGTGCCTGGTAAAATTATGATGACGGTTATTCTGGGGGTTACTGAAAAACACTGAGAGACAAATTGGTCATAGCTGGCACAGGTTCACGAGGGGAAAGCCCTGCTTAACCAACTTAATTTCCTTTTATGAAAAGTAACCCATCTAGTTGACCAAGCGAAGCCAGTGGATGTGGTCATTTGGGATTTTAGCAAAGCTTTTGATACTGTCTCTCATAGCATCCTCCTAGATAACCTGTCTGGCACAACTGGACAAGTCTGTAATACGCTGGGTGAGCAACTGGATGACAGGTTGGTCTAGAAGGGTTGTAGTAAATGGGGCTATATCAGGCTGGTGGCCAGTCACCAGTGGGGTTCCCAGGGCTAGATTTTAGAGCCACTGCTCTTTAATGTTTTTATGAATGATCTGGACACAGGAATCGAATGCACATTAAGTTTGCTGACGATATTAAACTAGGAGGAGCTGTGGACTCCCTCAAGGGCAGGGAAACCTTACAGAGAGATCTGGATAGGCTACAGAGATGGGCAATCACCAACCGTATGAAATTTAACAAGAGCAAGTGCCGGATTCTCCACCTGGGACAGGACAATCCTGGTTACATGTACAAATTGGGGGAGAAGAGGCTGGGGAGCAGCCCCACTGAAAGAGATCTCGGGGTTTGGGCAGTTGGCAAGTTATATTGAGTCAGCAGTGTGCCCTGTCAGCCAGAAGAGCCAACCATGCCCTGGGGTGCATCAAGCACAGCACAGCTAGCTAGCCGAGGGACATGATTGTCCCACTCTACACTGCACTCGGGGAGCCGCATCTCAAGTCATGTGTGCAGTTTTGGGCATCTCAGTATCAGAAGGACACCAGACTATGAGAGTGTGTCCAGAGGAGGGTGACCAAGATGGTGAAAGACCTTGAGGGCAAGATTTAGGAGGAACAGCTGAGGTCACTTGGTTTGTTCAGCTTGGAGAAGAGAAGGCTGAGGGGTGACCTCATGGCAGGTCTACACCTTCCTCATGGGGGGCAGCAGAGGTCGGAGGTGTTGATCTCCTCTCTCTGGTGACCTGCAACAGGACATGAGGAGATGGAATGAAGCTGTGTCAGGGGAAGTTCAGTTTGGACATTAGGAAAAGGTTCTTCACTGAGAGGGTGGTTGGTCACTGGAACAGACTCCCCAGGGAAGTGGTCATGGCACCAAGCCTGGCAGAGTTCAAGGAGTGTCTAGACAACGCTCTTAGTCATACAGTTTAGTTTTAGGTAGTCCTGCGAGAAGCAGGGAGTTGGACTCAGTGATCCTTATGGATCCCTTCCAACTTGAGATATTTATGATTTCATTTGCAAAGCAGAGCAAAGAAGCAGGAGACAAGCGTGATCATCCTAACAGTGATTGCCAGCTTCCCAACAAGTTAAGATTAGCAGTGTAGTTACATACAAGTGTATTTTAAATATCTCAAGACATAAACAATCAGAAAAAATATATTGCATGCCAAGAATCATTGTCTTCCTACAAATGAATCTGCTTGACCCAGAAAGACTGATGATAACTTCCAGTACAGAGCAACCAGGTCTACCATCAAGACTGCAGAAAGTTTTGAGCATCATACCAGTCATAAGACATCATCTACCAAACATTAACAACATCCACATTAACCACGAATGGACTGACTATAATTGTTCGAAAGAGAAAAACATACACGCCTCACTTCAGGGTCACTCAGGTGATATATAGACATGCTTATGTTCTTTCATTTACCTGCCTTCCAAGTAATGGAAGCACTTCTTTGATCACACTCTGCGTAGTGCTGTCCTTATTTACTCGTATAGAAACATATGCCATTCCCACCCTAAAGAGAAAAGAAGTACTTATTTTAGGACAATCATTTGCCCTATCTTCTGTGTACCTTTTTTATCTAAGTAGCAAATTTTCTATGGGGATAGGCTGAGATTTGTATTAGTTAGAGAATGTTGTTCACTGAGACTCATGGCAGATGCAGTATTAGCTCTACAGACAAGCAAAGACTTTCATCTCAAGGAACTGGTCATTACAATTGCACCACTGCAAATTAGCTTCTGCCTATACACAGAATTACCTGCAAGTCTTTCGTAAAATTTGGCAACGTAGTTGCACAAGTAAAATGAACAAATGTTTAAATTTTAACCCACTGTTCTTAAGAAATGAACAGGTCACCAGCCAGTCTTGTTTCCACTGCTAAATATGCTTAAAATGTACATTGTCTCAGTGGTAAATGGAACAGATTTTTTTTCTTTATTCTCTCCCCCTCAGATCAGAAGTTAAACTGAGTTCTACTTACTTAGTATTTCTTCAAAAAAACCATCAGATTTTCAAGTGACACGTGTATGTCATCATTTGTTTACAGATGCAGTTAATGTAAAGTTGCATCTTCTTGGCCAAATGCACAATAATAGAACCGCACAAGTTGCACAGCATGTTCCATGCATTTAAAAGAAACCCACAAGCACGTTTCCAGGCACAGAAATGAGTAATATGTATATGACTAATTCAGAAAAATAAACAGAAGAATCCTGAAATACAGAAGATGACAGTTCATTCCCTGTTATACTTGTGCAACTACAATAACTGAAACAGACCAGGCTCGACTACACAGGACAAATGTAGCCAAGCAGGTTAACCTTGTGATAAAGGAGGAAAACACTCACTTCAGCCAGGCAGGATAAATTCTGATCACTTCCTCATCCTTTGGTTTGGCTCTGATGATCCAAGCTTCAGGAATGGATTCTCGGAATACCGAGCCCAAGTTGCTGTCCTCTCCAGCATCGTTCCTGTTGATAACATCATCAGACAGCAGTGCCTGCTGTGTAAAGGTCTGAAGCTCATACTCCTGCTGGTCATCATTTATGTAGTACGCCCTCAAAGCAGCTTCCTACGACACAGCAAGATAAATTAACATTTTCTTGAAAAGACACCATTAAAACCTGTATAGCCATAGACATTTATAAATACCTTACTTATGGAACCAACCTTTAATGCACATTTTAAGCACTGAACAGTGGATAAATAGCAATGGCGAAACACAAAACAAGAGCAACGTTTTGCAAATAAATTTTGGTGGAATATACAGAAAGAAAATTTAAGATATCCATGGATTTGAACACAGCCCACAGCATTTTTGTCATGTGACAGTCATTTAAACTCCGTAAATCAAATGTAAAAATTCAGCATCAATAAAGCTACACTCACTGCATGCAAAATTTACTCCACAAGGAAGATAGTAAATTACACTTGCTTTTGACCAACTCTGCATATCCAATCTTCTTGCACTACAAGGATGCTGAAAACTAGCACGCTGCTCAGCCACAAGGCTGCCCTGAACCCACACACCTGTGAAGAGATTGTGCCAACAGAGTTGCTTGCAGCGAATACAGCCCAGTAAGTAACTTACGAGAACTGGGATTAATCTGCCTTGGTATTATAAGCAGCAGCCTGATAAAATGTGCGTCAAAAGCAAGTAGCACTCCTGCATAAAAGCGTTCTCAGCACTGTACACAATTTTGCTTGAAGATCTTTGACATGCAAGAACACTTTCAAAACCCCTGTTGATTTTGAGCACCAATGTAAAAATAAAAATCTTAATGAGCTGTAGGTTTAAATTGTCAAAATTTGATGTAACAAATTCTACAGACTCCTCTGCCAAGTCCTTTAGGACTTCGAGTCCTCACCATGCTCAATCTACTGTGCACCACTCCATACCTCCTCTGGGCTTCATTTCTGCACAGCATGGGGGGGTGGTGGGGGTGTGCATCTCTGCACAGCATGGGGTCTCTGCCCAGTAAATTAAGATCTTTACAGAACATTTTATTTAGTATTGAGTCATGTTTCCACCCCAGATGGAGCACTGGAAAAGCTAAGGAGTGCCACTATGTGATCAATAGTTCGTTACTTTCACAGCCAAGGAGCGGAGGCAACTGTGGCATGCTTCAGTCTTCAAAGCTGATTAATTGAAATGCAATAGCGGTGGCTGTCCTGGATAAACATCAAACCACTAAATACAATAGAAGAGGAGCAAGGTCTAAGGAGCTCATTATTCAGCATTGCTCACATCAGTAAAATCAGACTTCAGTGTCACACAAGGAAGGAGAATGACTGCTTAACATATCAGATGCTGTGATTCCCATTGTGCTATAGATATTCAGGCCACCACTTCTTCAGATGCTCTAAAATAAGAGCACTCCATGAAGAAGTCAAATTGTATTGCAATATTATAGCCCACTTACAGTTTTTGTTGTTGATGAGTTACATTTGTAAAATTGTTAGCTTTTGATCATTGTAATAGACAATCGAATGTCCCTTTATCACACTGGAATATTGACCTTCATTGGGTATCTTACCACAACTTCTTCATTTTTTGCAATCCTTGGAACTGAAATCAGTCGAAATTGATTGCGTTTCACTGCATCATTCCCATCAAATATCTTTAATGTTTGTTTACCTGAATGAAAACAATTATTGTATTTCAATAACACACCCCTCAAATCATAAAGCTACCTGAATAGGAAGCATATAATGGAACTATTAAAAACCTGCTTTTCACCCATTGAACTGCTTCTTCATCACAAGCTTTGAGGCTGAATCTTTTCATTTTTGCTTTGTTACTGTTCGTTTAAAATAGGGTTACATTTGCAGAGGAAAGCAGGAAGAGTATTTCAAGTATCCATAGTTTTACCCTGGCTTTTGATATAACTGTTTAGATATAACTATATTGCTTATGTTATCATTTCTTCATCAACACCATCCAAGACTGCATTTATTACTGGCGAGTTCAACAACATGAAAACCAAGAGAGAGTGCCATCACCTTCAGAACAGCTCCCAAAGCACTGCCAGTTCTGAGAGCATCCTTCTAAGAAAGTCCCTAAAGTACCTGCTTAGCTGTACAGACAGCAGGAGAAAATATGGGAACAGAAAAACTAGAAGGAAGGAGATACAGCAAATGAAGAACTACAATCCTTTGCTGTGTTTCGTATCACTAAAGCCTTATCAAATCCACGCTGAAACCATAGAGCACAGGTTGTTGCACAGACATCTCTGAAAGGGTGAAGAGTTAAGGATTTTGGGCTCACCTTTCACTAAGGTAAGACTCAGTCTGGTACAGTCCACTGTATGACAAAGTTTCTCTCTTATTTAAGCAGCTATTTTAAGAGCAATAGCAAAGTGTAACCAACTTATCATAGAACAGGCAGGTTTTGAGACATTTTAAGAACAAATGAATGTTATCAATATGTGTGTCCTTACTGCCTCTGGAAAGGAATCAAGTTAATCAATCCAGGCCAAAAAGGAGATTCCAACACGACAGACCTTATGTCCTTTCCTATCACATCTTTATGAAGAGTCTTGATGAGCTGTTCAGTTTTACAGGTTCTTTCATGTACTCCTCAGAGACCCCGTATTTACAACTTGACTATTCTTAACGGACAGAATTTGCCATTTTTATCTCAGTCCTGGACTGAACTGTTAACAACAGTCACTCTTTGTATAGCACAACGTTACAGACTCTGATCTCACAACAAATCTGTACTCCTGCATTCATCATCAAGTAATGAAATCACTAGAAGCTACCACTTGCAGACTTGGAGCGTTAGAAATATTAACTGGAAGCCACGTACACCAACTGTAACAGTCCCGCCACTGGTTACTCACTCAGTCTGTTAATATACATTGTAAAGAAGAGATACATCGCATGCTGGAGTCTACCCCCATCTCTCTCTTACAGCTTGGAAATATTTTGTAGTAAAGCAGAAACCACTGAAAGCCTTTTGCTCTCAAATAATATCGTCGTTTAGGTTCGCAGCACCACACTAGCCAACTACCATTTGTCACAGAGGGATTAAAAAGGAGAGCTGAAACTGGAGGAGCAAAAAACCAAACCATCCCTAACTGATGGCTAAAAAAGCGAGCTAGAATCCCCAGACAGATATGTGCATCACTGGGTATCTCCATGCTGCATTAACAGATTATGAGGAAGGACTGCAGTGAGTAACTGCTTTGCAAGGGCACTTTAGTGGTGCTCTGCTAGCCTTCTAGAGCCACCTGACACTCAGGTACGCCATGTTAAATCCACCAATTCCTGTTTCAGTGTATAAGTCTGTCACTGCATTCAAAGGCAGACACTGTGCAGAACTAAAGGCTCATCCAATGCTATGTTTGAAAGCAGCCTTTTCTAAATCAGACTCTAACCCTCAAAAAAAAAAATAAAAATCCTGCTACCTTCATTCTCATTCCCTTTATTTCTCATTATTTTGAGATGTGACAGCTACACTTTAGACTTCTTTCTCAATTTAGACTTGCCTTCTTATTAAGGTCTTTCTTCATTAATGTTTCCACTGGGCATGGCACAATGTGTGTGCAAGATGTTCTTACTAGTTAACAAAAAGATCTAATTGCACAGCAAGGAAATCACCAGTACAGCCTCCCCTCCTGCTCCAAACTCATTTTAGTCTCTCCTGGGAGAAAAGTAGCTATGACAATCAGTGGGTGCTTCAACGGCAGCACTTCCCTTTACACCAGAAGAAAAATTAGTGGGATCACTCCACCAGCAATCACTCCTGACACAGGATTTGGGTAGTAATTCAGTATAAAACTTTGTCCTTCTTCTGTTGCATTTATGAAACTCTGATAAACTGTAAGAAATAAAAAAAATCTTTTATGTTGAGACCTCAAGAACAGAGCAGGGCTGAAGGTGGTCCATCCTGCATGCATCCATGTAAACAGGGAAATGCCTGTTTGCCAGGAGTATGAGGAGAGCTCTCTACCCTTCTTCGGAACTGGGCACCTCTCTGAAATGCGTGTACACGACTGCCCACAGCATGGGGGACAACCAAGAGAAACTGGAGGTCTGCATGCTGTTCAGGACTGCCATCTCATTGGAGTCATGGAGAGCTGTTGTGACAGCTTGCACCACTGGCACACTGCCAGGGTTGGACACAGGCTGTTGAGGAATGACGGGCTGGAATTGTGAGGAGGGGGAGTTTCTGTGAGCCCGTCCAGTGTGAGAGCAGTGGGGATGCTCAGAGCTCTGCCTTGGGACGGATGATGAAACAGCAAGAGCTCGTGGGTAGATGACAGACCAGTGTACGGGCAACACTATGGTGCCTGTCTGTTAGTTACAAACGCCCTAATCTGGAAGAAGTGGCAGATGAAGCAGGTGATGCCTCCTTCCGACAACTGCAAGAAGCCTCTCGTTTGCAGGCCCTGGTCCTCACAGAGGACTTGAGCCACTGCCATAGCTGCTGGAGGGGAAAGGCAGCCACG